ATTCTCACGTTTGGAATTGAGCCTTCGCTTCAGTCTTCGGCTTGAAAGAAATTTAGCTAAGCATGACCAAAGTCATACTTAGCATAATTGAAAAGTATACGAAAAATAGAGAGAGAGCTAGAGAAAAAAAAGATTTTATTCTCATATGAGAGAGATATGTTTCTAGGCTTACCCTGATAGGGTATTTATAGCCTTCAAATTCCTAAAAACAAGCTAAAACATCTTAAATCCTAATTAAAACACTTAAAACTATTTAAACTAAAATACCTAAATAATAATAATAATATTCTAAATCCTAATTAAAATACTAAAACCTATTTAAACTAAAATACCTAAACCAAAGATAAAATATAAAAATAATATCCTAAAATTTAATTAAAATACTAAAACCTATTTAAACTAAAATACCTAAAACAAAGATAAAATATAATGTTTAAAATATTATCCTAAAACTTGAGTTTAATCCAAATCCAAATTTCATCTACCTTTGATTCCGAAAATAAAAAAAAACTACATAATTCCATCCTTTTAGTACAATTTACAGAATCTAACGTCCTGCACATAAAATGAATGAAAACGAACAATTAAGCCACAAAAACCAATGATTAAGGAGTAATTTAAAAGCAAAATATTAACTAAATTAAGCATTTATCACTTAGCTTACAATGCCCAGCAGTATAATTGCTAATCAGAGCAACGTAAGAATTTCATAAACACAAGCGTGCTAAAGACATGATACTAAGCAGTAGGTACATGCAAAATCTCGAGCAAGTGCTACCTACTAAAGCTTTACTGCTCTATCACTGAAGTAGGGGTTTCACGTTTTCCTTAGTCTTCTACTAAGGGCCTCGCCATAAGTATGCCTCCTAAGGATCTCTAACCCTAACAACTGTATCTACTACGTATTGTCTAAATCCGAAACGGATACTCATGTGCATTATTTGAATGCAAACTTGACCATAATGTGTATTATCTGAATACAAACCTGGCATATTGTGCATTATCTAAATACACCCTGACTAGTATATAGTCTCACATAGCCATCAGACACTAATTACTTAGGGAACCCGGTGTCACATAGCATTAGTGTAATTTCCACTAAACTACTGAATGATCTCCTGATCCTCACAAAGCCATCAAGTAGATCATGAAGGGGAACATGGTATCACATAACATCAGTGCAATTAGTGCTTAACTAAAGCATTGGATTAGTCTCACATAGCCTTCAAGCCAAGCTTTAACATATATGATGTACTGGACTGATGCAACTATACATACATGTTTAAGGCCCAAAGGTCGCACAACACTAACATCGTTAACCCACTCCTCGTGAGTGTTTCGGGCCTTGACCCCTAGTTAGCCCCAGAAGTGTCTCGCTCAGTGAGAATGCTCCACTAGGGAAACTAAGGTAACCTGACTATACCCTAGCATAGTTGGACACACTAAATAGAGGTTATCCACTCACTAGGTGCTATCTCGCTCGTTCTCTCATCTAGAACGTTATGCAAAGGCTTATTGGTCTGTTACTATTATTATTTATTTAGCTGCCCAATTCTGGTTGTTCGTTACTTAAAGACGCTTTAGTCACTTTGACTCAAGAGAAGTATCTACGCGTTTCGTGATTCAATGACGATTACTGAGTTTGCTGATCATTGGCTATACTATTCGTTAGCCCGATACCTGACTCACGGTCAACTCTGAGTAGCGACGCTGATGTGAGCACACCAACGCCATCTTCAAAGGATATGGAAGTAATGCCACAAGGACCAGTCACTCGATCAAGAGCCAAACTGTTCAGGGAAGCTCTTACATTAAAATGCATTAAAACCTTTGAATCATTTAAAATGCATCCCCAAACAAGAGATTATATACTATATTTCATGTTAACATATAATATAATCTATGAACCACATATTTATACATTTATATCTTATATTATTTAGCTTATAATATGTTTTTTTGTAGGTGCATTTTCGGCCACATGATGGGAGCTGACGTAAAGCTAGCATTGGAGTCCAAGAGCTATGGAAACTTGACTAGGACAACTCCGGGACGGCTCAAGAACATTTTGGGACTAAGTTGGCAGTTGACCCCCGAGCTCATAGGTGACTTGAGCTAGACTTTTGAGCTAGCTAGAGACCTCATTTTAACTGGAGAGTTACACCATCACCACCACCACACAGAACACTTCAAATATGGTCTAGGTCAATTTTTGTGGATTCGTACCTTTTCGCGAAGAGTTGACATTCTGAGAAGTGCCTTTTCACAAGAAGATGTCCTAAGACTCACCTACATGTCCTTCATCTATGGCTAGCTCATCTTCAGCTCAAACACACGGAAAGTAGCTTAAATAATGAAATGTTACCTTCCACAAATGTGACCTTTCATAACAAGATGCTGACCCATTGATGACATGTCATTTAGATACATGTTGGATGCCATGTCATATCTAACTTGCTGCTTATCTTCACGCCAAGGAGGAGCCACACCATAATTATCCTATGCCACCCATGTGAGTGCCTCATAACCAGCCACCCATATGCCATGCGTGTGGAAGAAATGGGCACCAAAGTGAAGAGGCTTCTCTTTATTCGGCCAAAGCATCACCTTACTTCAAGTTGGCGTCAAGATGTACCAACAAGGGAACCATTCGGCCAAGGACATATCCCCTCATCCAAGCATCATTTATTTTCATTTTAAGTCATGTATTTTGTCAAAAAATCTTGTATCTATTCGGCCAAACCCCTTGCAAGCCTATAAATAGGCTTTGACATTCATTTGTAAACTCAACACTTTTGATAAATTAAACTCTTGTGAGATTATTCTCTCTTTAAGTTCTTTTTATAACTATATCAATTAAGCAAGCTTATTTCTAAGTTTGTGGCATCAAACCCCTTCCATTGATACTTCAAGTTCCTAGTTCCTATAACTAGTGGGTTCAAGTCCTTGATACCATCCCTTATAACGACTTATAAGAATCGAGTCTTTGCTCATCTATAGCATTGGTTCATTCTTAGTCCTATAAGATATTATTTAACCATCACCATTCACGACTATATCATCATCCTTCCATTACCATCTCTTCACCATTAAATTTTCCTTCATCTATCATCAAAGTCAACATCCATTATCACCATTGGAGGCAGAGACATTGCATTTGAAGGAGATTTCTACAACACTTCCGCAACCTATTTTTGATAACATTTTCTATCACTTTTAATTCCTTTCATTTCCATTTCCTTTCTTATCATTTCATTTCTTTCTTTCATTTCTTATTTCATATTTCCATTTTAATCATTTCTTTCTTTTAATTGTGCATATTACTTATCAATTCAAAGTGTAGCATTTGGTGTCTTTCCTAGATCGGGAAACAACAAGGTTGCTAACTTCTCCATCATTGAAGAAGCTTGGATAGCCTTACATTAGACGCTCTAGTCGCTCTTATTGTAATTCCTTTCAATACCCCTTGAACTTAAAGGGTCGACCTACACATCCTCGGTTCACTAACGTAACGTTTTTGAAGTTTACGCTATCCGCTATTACTGAATCTGACTTATTTATTGTACTGCTTGTTTGTACATCCTTTGTAATGATCCTCATCCTCAACAATTTTCATACGTCCTCTACTAAAGATATTTCGATGTATTCTCTTAGTATAGTTACATTTGTTGTAATCCACTCCTCTGAGTGTTTCTTGGTATGTTTGGTCATTTATGCCCCTCACGGACTAAGTCCTACTATTACAGATTGTCCTTAGCTCTTATGAGCCTTAAACAGGTGAAATTTCACCATATCAAGTGAGTAGTATCGATACTCTACTTGTAGTATCGATACCCCTATGAGTATCAATATCAAAATGCATTATGTTTCTGAAAAATATACCCAATATCAATACTGTTAACTTGAGTATCGATACTGTAGGGGTAGTATCGATACTCTCTCAGCCTAAAACCCTAAATTTTGCCCCAATTCATCCAGCATCGATATTGTTCATCCTAGTATCGATACTCAAATCCTGGAATAGTTATTTTAGGCTCGTAAACATCTAAAAATCACTCTAAAGGTCGTGGTTTATTTCTAAATCATGTACTGGAGTTTTAGAGAGTTAACTAGGGTCTTAGGGTGTCATAAAAACACTTTTTTTAACACCTAAAACGTCTTTTATTCTTAAAATCAAGTTTAAACCCTAATATGCTCAACCACACAAATCTTAGCAAATTCTTGAAATTTATGAACGCTTAATACTCCAAAAGGATTATAAATACACTACCTTGATGTTTGAATCCCGAAATAGAGTTCCTTTCTTAGCCACACTCATTTCCTTGGTGATTTAGATAAAAAAACAAACCCCACTTTTCTTTAGCTAGAATTAAACCAAGACTTTGATTCATTAAACTAAGGTTGTTGGATAAATTTAGGACGCAAATGGAGTTTAAAAGAAGTATGGAATGGCTCAAAATACTCACCTTAGCTATTATCTTATGAGAGGAATAAGAAGTTCGAATTATGAAATGGGGATGAGAAAAAGATGGATGAAATAAAAAGGCTCATCTTTGTAAAAATGAGAAAATTACGTCATTGGTCATCTCTTATTTTTTTACAATTTAAAACCCCTTTTTTTTGGCTAATTAGGCCCAAATTCAACCCAATTAAACCCAAAGACTTTAATCATGGAATCTGCGGGGTTCACTTACCTCTCGGGTAAACCCGAAACTACTAGCCCAGAATTTGGGGCGTTACATTAAATGAACCATTCCCCATTGAACTATATCATTTGTACCGAGTTGCCTCCTAATGTATTTTTTGGGATGTTTTGCCCTAAACTTTAAATCCTTACCCTGTTTTCCCCAAAACGTTAATTCCATTAAAAATAAAATTCACTTACCAATCAGAACACATCACTTTGTCTCCTAATTTTTATTTTCTTTAACAACGTAAATAAAAATTAATTAATAAAATAAAATACCAAATTCGCCCCTCTTCTCTCTTCCCCTAACCTCACCTTCACACTAATTCCCTAACCCCCAACACACCTCTATTTCCCTTTCTCCATTGAAGGAGACCTTGAACCTCCCACAGCTGAATGATGCTCAAATTATCCTAGCTTCCTGAAAGCTTAGGCGCTGAGCTTTTGGAGACTTTGGTAAAGATGCTATTTTGTTTGCTTTAACAGGTAACCCGGAAAGCTTAGGTGCAATTGAGACATCTCGGAACTTGGTTCTGCATAAATTTTTCTCAAGGCCGTGCTTGATATCCACTTTGCCTTTAAAAGTATTGAAGTCATGCTTTACAGAGCAACTTTGATGCAAAAGTGAAGTACTTGAGGAAATCTTTTCAAACCCTTTGAGGTATTTAAAGTTCATTAGGCTTAATGCTTCGTGTGACTTAAATTCATAAGGCTCTTATAAATTCATTCCTCTCTATGTGGTTTTCAGGAAGCAATTGAAGAATAGTTGGTTATTCCTCAAACTCCTGGAGGCTGTTTTGAAGACAGGAAACCGAATGAATGGCGGAACCAATCATGGCGATGCTAAAGCTTTTAAACTTGACACCCTTTTAAAACTTGTTGATATAAAGGGCACGGATGGGAAAACAACACTACTGCACTTTGTTGTTCAGGAGATCATTAGATCCGAAGGTGCAGGCACTAATTCTACGAATGAGAATCCCAAAAACATACTGCTTTCCAACATTAAGGAGGATGATTTCAGGAAGCAAGTATTACAGGTTGTGGTTGGGCTGAGCTGAGAACTCGGCTCAAGGTCTCTTTCAATGGAGAAAGATTCTGAATGAAGAATGGAAAGACAAAAAGGAAAGGGGGGAATAGTTTGTTGTTGGTTTTGGTGGTTTCTCCCCCTTATTTTTTTCTATTGCTCGTTCCATTTTGATTCGATTAAAAGGATTCAATGTTTGTGGTTGTGTTTTGGTTTTGGATTTAATCAAAACCCAGATTTGAGTTTCGGCTGTTTTTACATTTTGTGGTTTGTCTATCCTTTTCTTAGGCACCATTTTCTTGCCCAGAAAATATAAAAAATCAATGGACAACGGAAAACAGAGGTTTGTTGGGGGTTAGGGAATTACGGTGAAGGTGAGTTAAATATATCACATCAATTGTATACAACGTTTACTATTTAAAACCCGATAAAATTTTGTTTGTTTAAAATTTCCAAATCGCATATTAAATTTTAAAATAATAATAGGGAAAAAAATCGAAATTTCATTTTTTTAATTTCAAAATCGAATTCAATTTTAGACAATAGCTAGGAAATTTAATACTATTTAAATTCATAATCATAACTTCCTATCACTGCCAAATTTTTACACTTAACTAGTCAACATTTGTAATATAAGTTATCAAAATACTATAATTTAATCTACCTAATTTAAAATTTTACTAATTAGTATATAAAATATAATTTTATAAAATACTATTCTTTTCTGCTACTAACTATATTTAATATTACAATATATATTTTATATTAATTTTATTATTACAAACCATATTCAAAAACCTTAATATTAGAGCAGTGGACCACTCATATTATACATGCCACTAAGTAACAAAACAACATGGTTGATGTCTTTACTAATTTAGATGGTAGCTTGATTCCTCAAGGTGATGTTGATGTGCTCCCTACTCAGGAATCTTTTCCTTATTTTTCTTATATGTAAAACAATCACACGTTAAGTTTTCACTTAGCGAGGTATTAGATAAATTTTAAATAAAACTACATGATTTACAAATATTATGTAAAAAATCATGGTATAGAAATTAATTAAAACCAAACAAAAATAAATGACAACAAGTTGCTCATAAATATTTCAAATATAAAACATTTATAAATCGAGCAGCTGGCAAAACTCTTGTTGACTTTTGATCCATATAACTTGCGTTTTTCAATAAGTTAAACTATATAAATTCACACTTTTCATATACTCCAATCATATTCATAATTGTAATTTATTTAACTCATGTAAACTCTTACTTTTCATTCATTTAAATTATAGCTCAATGTATTTTAACCGAGAATATCAGGTACGTGAGTCTTGTCGAATATGCGCTATATACACTAAAAGTGTCTCGTAGTCATGTATTTGCACTCGAAAGTGCCTCATAGAATTGCACTCGAAAGTACATCGTAGAATTGCACCATAGGTGCCATATAAACTTGTACCATATAATCGTTCCACCTCATGACATGCCATTTGTACCTTAATGTAACCCCTAGCCCTATCATATGCGTTACGACTGGATTTAGAAGATTACAATAAAAATTTACAAAAAATAATTTTCATACTTTAAAATAATAATTTCTTTAAAAAAGATGGTTATGATAATAAAACCCAAATTGAGTGATAGAAAACATGAAATTTTGCAAATTAAAATACTAACTACTAGTGTCAATATAGTTCATACATCAGAGGTGGTAGAAAATACGTCATAAAAGAATATATCAAAACATAGGCACATGTCACCAAAATAAAGGTAGTTCGTAAGATAGAAACATTACAACAAAATATACTATATGGAATGTGCCGATCTTCAAAGTGTCGGGTCTGGGTGCCTATCTAAGATCTGAAATGTGAAACGATAGGGGAGTAAGCTAGGAAGCTATGTATGTTCTAATAAGTGCAGAATAAATAAAACACACGGATAACATTTTAAAATTGATTTTCAGATCACGGTACAAGAGGGACAGTAAGGTTTTTATTTTAATAACATAGTTAACCCTCCGACCTTACACCATGTGCAGTTCCCCATAATTGAATCCATAAGAACTTAACCTAGGCCCATTGGACCTAGGAGACAATCTAAGGGAGCACCTTGGGTCCATAAGGACATACCCTAACCGAAGCGTAGGTGTCACCTAAGAGGAGTGTCGTAAGGTCTATAAGGACTTACTCTAATCACACAAAAAAGGAGCCACCTTATGAGAGTTCCATAGGGTCTATAAGGTCCATTGGGCCTAAGAGCCCACCCAAGGGTCTCCTTAGGTCCATATGGAATCATCAGCTTGATCAGAGCTGAACCTGCAGAGCTTCCAGAATGCATCCCAAATATACCCTAATAAAACAGTTTCAGACAGCACCGGTATAATCAGGAGATCATAGATCAGAAATTTTATAGTAACATTAATCGAAAATTCATGTACCAGACAAGCAGAAATTTCATATCAATAAAAACATAACTCAAGAAAAATAGGAAAATTAGTAAACAAAATCGCATTTTCAAAATCAGTTAAAGTAGTCATGTGCACATGGTAGTTCAGATATATATTTAAAACAGATAAATATAGAACACAAGGAACACACCTTGCGAAACGAGTCGGCCTGAGAGATCTACTAAGCACTGGTCTAGCTACAATAAAAAGTAGTAAATGATCCTAAACTAAATCAGAATAGGGTTACTATCAGAGTAAAATATTGAGCAAAATATTTAACCGAGTTACAAAACTATACGAGTAATCATGGATCACACGACCGAACAGCTTGAGATGAGCTAGGTCGACAAGTCATACGGTCGGGAGAAACACGGGTACCTATCATAACCAAAGTCATAAATCAGCCCTCGTCAATTCTTTATATTTCTTAGCCAATTTATTTAAAATAACTATGCAAGCTCGAGTTCAAGGGTCAAGTTGGAGGCTTTTGGGTTAACATTTAGGGAAACAAACTTCATATTCAGACTCAAGATGTCGAAAAATATAAAATATGACTTTTTTATAATGTTGACTTTTTTGTCAAAGTCAATGGTTAACGCAGTAAAAGTCAAAGTCCAATTCAACATGTCTGGTCAACGGTCAAGTCAAAGTCAACGGTTTGTCAAGGTTAACGGCTTAACTCAATTCAGTTTGAATTGACTCGGCTCACTCAGTCTGAGTTGCTCAGTTGACTCGATTATAGAAAACTCGACTGGAGAACAAGCCCCATGCACGACGGATGCATGTGGCGGCGCGTGCGACAGATGAAGGGGATGGGGATGACTGTCAAATTCTTAGAAGATAACCAAATATTGAATGCAAACCAATGCTAAAAATCAGCAAAACATTGATGACACTAAATATAAAGAAACCAGAGCTTACCCAACGTCAGATAACGAAAGATCAGTAGATGGAGATGATATCGGGTGGGTTTTAGTCGGAACTGAGTTGGAAACGTGATGGCAGTGGCAGTGAGGCAAATTGATGGTCGATTCGGTCAAAAAATACATAAAAAATAATGAGTTTATAGCATGGGATGACACTATGTTTGGTGATGATGATGCCACCCACAAACAACTGCGGTGGAGGGAATAAAAAATAGACTGAAATGGGGTTTTAATGAAGCTTTTCATGGCTCTCTACGTCAATCGATGATGGTTTATGGTGAATAGAAAGAGTTTTGATATGACATTGTCATGGTGGTGGTGGTGGTGTATACCACTGTTAGCCGGAGATAGAGTGAACGACGGTAAGAAGATTGTATAAGTTAGGGTTTTGGGGTTTTCTAGAGGCTTTGGGAGTTTAGGGATTTAATTCCCAAATTGAGGATTTAAAATCCCTACTAGAAAATTAAGAGACATTTTTCCAAATCCCATCAGTTACAGTGACCTAAGCTAAACAATAAATGAATAGGGGAAGCTTCAAGAGGGCTTAGGTTCAAAACCTAATAACCATAAAATTTTTATTTTTATTTCGAAAAACAAGGAAAAGGGTAAATCCCATTTCTTCTCCTCGAACTAACAAGAAGCTTATGAAAAAGATAACAAATTCCAAATTCTTGCAATTTAATCCCTCTAAAAGATAATTTAAAATTACTAGAATTATTCCGAGAATTTGGGGGGTGACAACTCTCCCCTCCTTAAAAGAATTTTGTCCTCAAAATTCACTTAAGTCGAACAGATACAGAACTAATCCTACAAACTTTCCTTCAAAAGACAACCTAAGTGCCCTATTTACCATAACTGATGATCCCATTGCACTTAGAGCGGTAACAAGGACATTGATATACACAATCAGACTCTGAAGGTTTATGAACACAGAACTTGAAATATATGGAGGGTAGTATGTTCATTTTCTTGTAATATATGATAAGGAAACATAAATAAAAAAAATATACATGCAAACATCTCGAGCTCATCCTGGTCGTCAAAACGTCTAGTAGCGTAGACTAGAGCAGGCTGTCTCGCCTTAGATAAAATTGGTCCTCTACTCTGCTTGGATCATGCTCTACCATCAGTCCTAGAAACAGATCCAGAAGTCCTACCCTGATTATGACTCCTAGATGAGGTCTGAATATAGTTTTGAGAACGGTCAGGGGTCCGAGTACATTTGCGCTTAGAAGAGGCAGCGTGGGGAAAATTCCTAAGGAAATGCTCACTAAACCCACAATAATAATAGGCATCCATCTTTTTCCTACACTTTCCTCCATATCGATTACCACAATACTCACAATTCGATATATGAGAGAAACCTAAAGTGTCACCTCGACTAACTACTGAAGGTAGAGGTAAAGCAAGCCTCGAACTAGTATAACTCCTTTGAGGGGCGACATAACGAGATTTCTTCTCAGGACGAGCAGAATACTCATATAAACCAGAAGATCTTCTAAACCACTCTTTATCTACTTTCTCGCTATCATGAGCCTTAGCTTTAATTTCCTCAGCATCCTTTGCTCTGCCTAGCAATCTATCGAACACCTCATTCTGATGAGTAAAAACCTGTTTACATAACTCATACCTAAGTCCCTGAGCAAACCACTGCACCTATCTCTCTTAGTAGGTACCAAACTAGCACCATATTTTTACAACTTCAAGAATTCATCTCATACTTAGAAACAATCATATATCCCTGAACAAGGTCCTGAATTTGTTGTCATCTCTACACCAGATATCGTTCTCCCATGAAATAATTCTTAACATGCTCCCTAAAGAAGTCCCAAATCAGGAGTTCAGCCAGAACACTATTCACTACATACTCCTACCAGGTGTG